AAACTCTACTTGAAAAAGATTAAATATTACTGTTTGCTGCAGGTGAATGGAACTAAATGGTATTAGATATCAGAGGGAAGAGAAAAAAGAGTAGAGGATCTCACTTATCTGTGGGGAGGGAGGGAGGGAGGGGGAGAGAGAGAGAGAGAGAGAGAGAGAGAGAGAGAGAGAGAAAGAGAAAGAGAGGTAATAGATCATTTTGAAATATGGAAATCCCTTAAATTTAGGTTTAAAAAGTAGTGTGGGGTGTAGTGGGAAGAATCCGGGGTGACATAGGGCCATGGTGAAGGGTCACAGGTACTTTTGTGGTGTTGAGGGACAGTATACATCAACACCACAGATGTAAATACTACTGTAACCATTAATGTAAGTACTATTGTAAGACTCTTATCTAAAATACGATTTAAAAGTTATAAATAAAAAGCTGAAAGAATAGAAGGAAAAAAGAAAATTCTACTTGGATCTCAGGCATGAAAATGTAATGTACACTGTCCCGGCAGGAGGAGTTGGTCTCATGGTGTGACTTTAGAATTCTTGTCAGTGGCTTTTTCCTGAAAGAACTGAGCCTCGAGTCCCTGATCATACTCCATTTCTTTTTTTTTTTTTCTTTTTGGGTTACACCCGGCAATGCACAGGAGTTACTCCTGTCTCTGCACTCAGGAATTACTCCTGGCAGTGCTCAGGGGACCATGTGAGATGCCAGGGGTTGGAGCCAGGCCAGCCATGTGGAAGGCAAGAACCCTACGGGATGTTGTTGAGGGCCTGTCTGGGATGCTGGGAATCGAACCCAGGTCAGCCACGTGCAAGGCAAACGCCCTACCTGCTGAGCTATCGTTCCAACCCCTATACTCCATTTCTTAGGGGAAATATTGGAGGGAAGGTGGATTGAGGCCCTGCGGCCTGAGCAAGGAAAGATAGAACAGAGAAAGCATGAACCGAGTTTGGGGGTTTTCACTTACGCCTGGGCTCCCCACCCAGGGGATTTTTCCTCTCCAGGGCAGCTGAGCCATCTCACGACCTGAATATATAAAGTCTGACAAACAAGGCAACTTACATCCTTGGGCCAGAGAACCGGAAATGGAAAGACAGCTCTCAAGAAGAGACCTATTAGAGGAGCATTACAAGGGTTCACTGTGTCCCGCCAATGATAAAGCCCTAATCCCTCGAATCTTGGATTGTGACTATATTGGAAATTGGGTTCTTGCCGAAGCAGTAGTTAAAATGGGGGACTGTAAGAACAGGGGGCCCCTGATCCAACGGGTTGTACCTTATGAAAAGTGGGGTTCAGACACAGCCCAAAGGGCTGAGTGTAGGCGTCATATACAGGAGACCTGGGTTCAACCCCTGGCACTGTGTGGTCCCCCAGAGACAACCCAAAGCAACTGGGCTGGGGGTAGCCCCTGAGCTCTGCCAGGTATGACCCCAAAGCAAAAACATAGAAGAAAGAAAGGAAACCAGAGGAGAAAATAAGGATCCCGCACGCCTAGGAGTCTGGTCAGGCCAGTTCCTCCATTTTCAGATTGGTGGTTTCAGGGGCACATTTCACTGGTCTGTACTCCCCCAGGGTGCTGTGATATGAGAGGCAGCTCAAGGAAACCGCTGTAGGGGTCACACAGGAGAAGGGCCTGGGAGGAAGAGACTCCCACCTGGGGGCCCAGAAGGGGCCCTGAGCTCCAGCTTCCAAGGGCCCCAGAAGTGCCAGCAGACAGGGAGCGTTTGTAGAAACTCACACTGACTTCCCAGGTCGCCATGTATTATTTTATTGTCATTTTTTTGCTTTTTGGGTCACACCTGGTGATGCACAGGGGTTACTCCTGGCTCTGCAATCAGGAATTACTCCTGGCGGTACTCAGGAGACCCTATGGGATGCTTGGGAATTGAACCCAGGTCAGCTGTGTGCAAGGCAAACTCTTTCCCCGCTATGCTATTGCTCCAGCCCCAACCATGTATTATTTTATTTTCAATTCTCGTTTGCTTTTTGCACCACACCCAGGGGTCCTTCTCCAGACTTACTCCTGGCTCTGTGCTCAGGGAAGCCTCTCTGGTGCTAGAGATGGAAGCTGGGCTGGCTGCATGCCAGGCAAGCGTCTTAACCACTGTCCTATCTCGCTGGCCCTGTGTGGCACATTTTTGTCCCTTGTGACACACCGTCATACGAGTGACTCACAAAATGGGGTGTCAAAGGAAAGTAGTATCACTTTTAATCCCCTTAATGTATGTAATGGGGAGATAAATCATTCATTACGTCAGCTGATGGAAAACCACTCCGAAAGAGCGCTCTCTCCTCCCAGAACTTGGCATGGATGGATCTTCCCCCACCATCTTCTGAAGCCGGAGCATCTTTTTAATTCTGGGCCAAGGGACTGTCAGCTTATTTAAATAACAAAGCTGATTTTTTCCCCTCCTCTAAGCTTCTATATTCAGAGGAGCAAATGGAAAGTCAGACATGCAGATGGGCGGTCAGTGTTGGTTTCTTTGCTTGTTCGTAGGTGCCGGCCTCTGAGCCTTCCTTTGCAGGGCATCTGAGACTAAATTACCCACTGATGACCCAGGAGAGAAGGCCAAGTTCTTGGCTCAGTCATATCCACGACTCGGGGCTAAAGGTTAGCCTTGTCTCTCTGCTTTCGATCTCAAATCATCTTGCAAAGGGGGCTGAAATGTCCAAGTCCCCGTTATTCCAGCTTCATTTGCAACAAAGCAGAAAACACATCTGGAGGCAGCCTGTGAAACCAGTGCCCACCCCCTACCCCCCACCGCGGTGTCTCTTTAAGGCCCCACCTGGTGTCTGAGAAACTGGGCACTGGTCCCTCCTCTGCCCAGGGTCAGCCCAGAGCAGCAGGCAGCCGGTTGGTGGCTCTGGACCAGCGTCCTGCTGTCAAGGTGACATTGGGAGCTGTGGACACCCGCCCAACTTGATGCCATTCATGGTATTTAAAGGGCTCCCGCCTCCCGGATGGGCAGTGTCTGGGCTCCGTGACAAGAGGTGCTGCCGCTGCTCCTGACGGGCCTAAAGGACAGGAGGACTTGGATACTCATCCTGAATGTCAAGGTCTCTGCCTTGTGGGTGCATTAGAGATGCCACAGGAATAGCCCCGGTGGTGTTTGAGTCCAGGAGAAGTAGTGACCTTCAGCTTTGGAACCCAGAGGGCTTCCACAAAGACGGCCCCCGGGGACCTGGGAAGATCCTTGAGGGGGTTAAAGCACTGGCCACTTCCAGCTCAGTTAAAGCACTGGTCACTTCCAGTTCAGTCCCCAGACGTGTGTCCCACCCACCCGGCACCACTAGGGGTCAGTCCTGAGCCCAGAGTGAGGAATAACCCCAAAGCATGGCAGCCTGGGCGGGTCCTCCACATCTCACCCCTAGAATTTAACCAAAAAAAAAAAATGAAGAATGAGATGTAAAAGACTGAGGTAGAGTCCACGCATTTGAGAGAACATGCAGGAATAGTGAAGAAGCCGGAACAGCACCCCATCCTCCACGCCTCTGCACGGAGCAGGCTCTCCATGGCGTGTGATGAGGGGTGCCCTCCTCTCCATGGTGCGTAGCTCTACCCGTGGTCCTTCCTGCCTCCCATTATGGGGGCGTTGGTACTGGAGGGCACACTCCCTTCACCCGTCCCTGCAATTGGGGGGCTCGGCAGACTTCCTTTGCCTTTGCTGTCGATGGGTAGTTGGTGGCGTGTCAACTGTTTGCCCAGCCCAAAGCAAGCTGGAAATCTCACTTTAGTCAACCCTGCATGCATCTTACTGGCTCCACAGAGTGTGTGGGTACGCCAGCGTGAGTGGCCAAAGCTGTCCGCTTGCTGAGTTGCCAGAAGGGATGGGGAGAGATCAGAGAGGCGGAGGCGCTTCACCACACAACGCTGCATTGCAGAAGCTTTATCAAAATGACTCTGTTCCTGGGTAACGGGGAATTATGGTCGTACAAAACAGAGGGCAAGTGATAAATGGCTTCCAGCAGGGTAGCATGAGTTAGCCACTGAACTTTCCAGCTTTCAAAACACGTCCGTTCAACCTGGCCCCTTCCAAGAATGGATTTTGGTTGTACTTATTTTTGTATGCTTTCAAATACTAAAAAGTGGGGCCGAAGTGATAGTACAGCGGGTAAGGCACTTGCCTTGCATGCAGACAACCCGGGTTCAATCCCTGGCATCCCATATGGTCCCCCGAAGCACCACCAGGAGTGATTTCTGAGTGCAGAGCCAGGAGGAACCCCTAAGCATTGCTGGGTGTGACCCAAAAAGAAAAAAAATCAAATATTAAAAAATAGTAAAAAAAATACTGTATTATTTGTATGTATATAAATAGTATGTATATACTATAGTATGTATATACTATATACTGTATATACTGTATATGTATATATGTATATAAATAGTAAAAAAAAAAGTAAAAAAATACTGTGACTTTAAAAATAACGCAATTATCATTCTTGCCTTATATCAGTGAGCCAGGGTTTGTGTCTCCAGCACCACACACAAAACACACAAAGCAGAATCCCCTTTGCCTGATAGGTTACTTAGGGTAAGGGTTTTTTTTAAATGTTATTTCTATTTTACGCATAATTGTACAATTTAGATGGAATTGTCCTTTGCCCATTTTTGCCTTAAACCTGGGTCATTAGTAAATTCCCTTTGTGCCTCAAATCCCAAGCGTGTGTATCATTTTGCTCTTGTTACTGTTTATAGGTTCGTGATAGTCTAGTTCGAGACAATGTTGCCGCTCCATTTGCCCGCACAAACATCCTCCCCGGCAGGTCTTCGTGTGTCTGTCATTTCCCTTGCGGTCATGTTCGGTAGAATACTTCTTTGGGGAATGTCACAGACTTAGGATCATGTGTCTGAAGGCCCTTTTACATCTGATTTGATTCTTTGGGGTAAACTGAAATGCATTTGGAAAATTTCACAACAGCTTTTAAGGTCAGGCGAGCACGAGGGTGTTGCAAAACCCAGGTTGGTGATCCCAGGGGCCAGTGTGGGGCTCACGGGGCATGGACCCCTTCCGGGCTGGCCGCATAGCACCGAGCAGCCTGGCGAAGAAGCAGGGGGTGGGGGGAGAGAGGCTCGTCTGAAGCAACGTTGACGGGGCCTCTAAGTGACCAGACTCTAAGGATCTTTGGCCGTCATTGATTTTATTTCCCGTGGCTGTACACAGTTAGGAAACTGGAGTTCTCGGCTGTCTTTCACCCGTGAGTCATCAGAAAATCGTTCCGTTGCTCTCAGAGCTACCAGTGGGATTGGACACTTGACAACAAGTGTTAGTTGACTGGCAATGAAAGGTAGGTTTTATGCGATTTCGTTTGGGGGGGCCAGAGAGAGGCCTCAAAGGGTGAGAGTATGAACAGGGCCCTATCTCATCCTTGGCTCTGCCAGTGCCCTGCGTGCAGTGTTATGACTCTGGTCCCTTGTTTTCTTTTGTTGGGGGCGGGGACCAGGGCCACCCCCAGTGCTGCTGGGGAGGTCATGTGGTGACGGGATCTAACCCCGGGCCTGTGCTTGCCAAGTCTGCGCTCCAGTCCTCTGAGTTATCTCGCCTGCCCTGAATGATAAGAATTATTAAGAAGAGTCGTTGAAATCAATACACTCATTAACATGAATGTTTATAAAGACCTTGGAATTGCCTGGGAAATTGTTCTATTGTTGGATTCATTTTAAAAGAACGACAATTGAATCTATGCACAGTTAACATTGCATTCAAAAAGAAAAGAAAAATCTGCCCAGAGCAGGGATCTAATTCCGTGGTCTGTGTGTGAGACCAGGTTCTAGCCCAGGACCAGGGAAAGAAGCCTTTGTCTAGGGAAGGGAGGTAGCAAAACAATGAACGCATTACATTTGAGAGACTAGAGTTCCTTCTTCCTCTATTTCTTCATTTCCTAAGTGTTTTTAATAGTTCATCATTCTTTATTGTTGACAAAGATGTTTTGTAAAAGATCTTGCTCCCTGACGAACAGTTTTTCCTTTTTTTTTTCAATCTCATTCTTTTATAGTCATTTGTTTACTAAATATATTTTGAGTACCCACTCTGAGTTTCTGACAGTTTTACGTGCTGGGACACAGCCAGGAGCAATGCAGATAAGGTTTAATTCTCTCTGAAGTTGTCTACTAGTGAAAAATTTCAAGCAAAAAATTTCCATAATAAGAATATACTTAATTATTTTGAGACTTTGGGAAGGAAAAGAAGAGAGGGGTTGGTCTTCTTCTTTTCTTTCTTTTTTTAACCAGAGTTTTAAAGATCTAGCAATCCATGTTCTATTTTAATCATACCACTTGCTAACATATTTTTGAAGATTGATAGTCACTATTAGGAGTTGTCTGTGTGTGTGTGTGTGTGTGTGTGTGTGTGTGTGTTTGGAGGCGGAGGGTATAGGGTATATTATGGCAGGTAGAGGAATGGCTTACAAGTTCAATCCCTGAGACAAAATATAATCCCCCCCAAACCACCCCAAGAGTGATCCCTGAGCACAGAGCCAGGAATAAGCCCTGAGCACTGCTGGGTGTGGGCTACCCCACTCCCACCCCTCTAAAAAGCGTCATATGTTCTATAGTTGTTATTATAACAATCAATTAATAATTGTTACTCAAATGGGGGGGAGCTTCAATAAGAATACATCTAGTTATAAGCCTATGTCTTCATGGGTATGTATGACCGTGACAGGTACACACTTACTAGAATCCAAGTTTTATGGAAATAACATGATTTGCTGATCTCAGAATGAGAAGCCAGATTTGTGAAGAGCCAGGAGGCCTTGTCTGCTGCCACAGGAAGCCGAGGGTTGTGGGGGGAGGGTGGCTCGCTCACTCTCTGGCCTCTCTCTCTCTCTGTTCTCCAAAATCAGCAAAGAAATTTTTTGCTCTGACTACTCAGTTTTCCCCCAGAGAAAGAGTCTGACGCCCTTAAAAATTAAAAACACAGGGTTGGATGGATAGCACAGCAGATAGGGCTTTTGCCTTGCACGCGGCCGACCTGGGTTCAATTCCCAGCATCCATATGGTCCCCCGAGCACCACCAGGAGTAATTCCTGAGTGCATGAGCCAGGAGTAACCCCTGAGCATTGCTGGGTGTGACCCAAAAAGAAAAAAAATAAAAACACAGAGTTAGCGAAACACTCAATCTTCTCTTAAGAACTTCCTGCTTTACTGGTTATAGAAAGAAAGTAGGTCTGAGAAGATGGCGAAGGCAAGGCTCACCCGTAGCCTCCCCTCACGGTATGTTATGTCAAGAGTCACGTGGCTTTTCTCTTCCCACTTTCCTGGTGAACGAGGGAAGGGGGTTAGCTCCTCATGAACAGCGATGTGAAAAGCCGGAGTTGGAAACTTCAGGGCAGGGTCTGTGCTAGGTATTTCACATACACTTATTTCATGTTGGTGACAACAGGGAGGGCGGTGATGATGACATCACACTCCGATAGGTGAGGGTTTTTATTACTTGTCCAAGGTCACCACCAACGGATGCTGCTGCTATTTCAACCCAGCCGTGCCTCCCTCTAGATATTTTGCTTCCGAAGAGGGCAGATTTCCATGACTGCTGAGTACTTGCAGTAAGTTCTGGTTGGCTGAAAGATTCTTTTGTTGTTGTTGTTTTTGTTTGTTTGTTTTTATCTATAACTTTTTTTATTGAATCATTGTAAGGCAGACCATTACAAAGCTGTTCATGATTAGGTTTCAGTCATACAGTATTCCAACACCCATCCCTCCACCAGTATGCAGTTCCCAGCACCAGTGTCCCCAGGTTCCCTCCCATCATCCCCGACCCATCCACCCCCTGCCTGCCATCTTTTCTTCTCTCTCTCCCTCTCTTACTCTCTCTCTCTCTCTCTCTCTCCCATTATCCCCCTTCCCTCTCTCCCCCTCTGTCTCTCTCTCTCTGAGAGCAGGATTTGTTAGAAGTGCTTATTGCACTCCATTGCTACCTGGCAGAAATTTGCCACTGCTCTGAGAAAAAGTTACTGTCGCTTAAGACATGGTAAGCCTGGGCTAAGATCCTCATTTTAGAACGCAAGACTTAAAGAATGAGGGTCCAGAGCAATAGAACTGTAGATGGGGTGTTTGTCTTGCAGGCAGCCGACCCAGGCTTGATCCCTGGCACCCCTTGGGTCCCCTGATCCCCGGCAGGAGTGACTCCTGAATGCAGAGCCAGGAGTAAGCCCAGAGCACTGCCAGGTGTGACACAAAAAACAAACTAAAAGAATGAATACATAAAACGCTGTGTGTCTTATTTAAAATGTGTGGTTTATTTTTAAATGTTGTATATAAAAATAGCATGATTAGTTCTGCCTCAGTGATCTACAAACTGTTACTGTTTTTGCTGGTTCTCTGATGTGTAAGGGTTGAGAACCACAAGAGCGTCCCCTCCCCTCCCAGTGCAGGAGCCTCTCTGACCCCCTCCTCCTGGCCAGGAGGACGGCCACAGGAAGAGGGCAGCAAAGTGCCCAAGTTTCCAAAAGAACAAGACAAGATGCCCACTTAAGTTTGAGGTTCAGATAGAGAATAAACTGGACATCCCACATTTCTTGCTTATCTGACTTTCAGCTTCAACTGATCTCCTATAGTTTCCTATAGTTTGTCTGGCAAACCTTGTTTCGCCACGTAAGAAAAAGTAAAGAGTCGTTATTACGCTCCCTATCTTCAAAGAGTAAAATAGAACTGGTCAAACTTAATTTTCTTTTTCTAAGACATTTGACTTTCAAAGTGTAAGATTTTTTTTTTTTGGCTTTTTGGCTTTTTGGGCCATACCCAGTGATGCTCGGGGGTTACTTCTGGCTGCACTCAGGGATCAGGGATCACTTCTGGCGGTGCTAAGAGGACCATATGGGATGCTGGGGCCCAAGCGTGGGTCAGCCACTTGCAAGGCAAACACCCTATCTGCTGTACTATTGCTCTGGCCCAACATAAGAATTTTAAACTTAAGTGTCGGAGTGATATGAGGTTTGATCCGACCCAGGTTTGATTCCCGGCATCCCATCTGCCCCTCTAAACCCCTACCACGAGTCATCCCTGAGCTCAGAGCCACGGGTAAGTGCTGAGTACTGCCAGGTGTGGCCCCCAAACAAAAAAAATCCCAAAAAGAGAAATTAAAAACCTAAGTGAAGGGACTGGAACCATAGCACAGCGGGGAGGGCATTTGCCTTGCAGACGGATGACCCGGTTCAATTCCCAGCATCCCATATGGTCCTTGAACGCCGCCAGGAGTAATTGCTGAGTGCAGAGTCACGAGTAAGCCCTCAGCATGGCCAGGTGTGACCCAAAAAGCTGAAAAAAAAACCTAAGTGAAGAATGTGACAAATTGTTAACATTTAAATGAAACCAATGTTTGTAAAGAATGTTGAAGGATGTGATACATTGTTACATTTACATGAAACTCATGTTTATAAAGAATGTAGAGATGTTAAAATCCAGAAATACACATATACATATATGTGTGTATGTATATAAAGTAGCAAAATAAAAATCACATGTAATCTTGCTCTTTATATGTAATTAATGTTCATTTGTGGGCTCTTTTCTTTTTCTTTATTTTTTTTCTCTTTTCTCTTTTGGTTTTTGGCCCCAAACCTGTGGCAGTCAGGGCTTCCTCCTGGCTTTACACTCAGGGATCACTCTTGGTGGGGCTCAGAGGACCATACAAGATGCCAGGGTCAAACCCTGGTCATCCTTGTGCAAGGCAAGTGCCCTGATAGGGGAACTATCACTTTGGTCCCTGTGGACTGTTTTCTTAGGGTTTGTATTCTATAAGCAATCATTTTGGAAAGTTAAAATGGGAACAAGTCTGAACTCAAAGCTGCTATTTAAGAAAAATAAGTATGTTCAACTTATTAACAGTTTCTAAGTAGGAAAAGATAACATACTGGGTGCCGGAGCAATAGCACAGTGGGTAGGGTGTTTGCCTTGCACGCAGCCGACCTGGGTTCAATTCCCAGCATCCCATATGGTCCTCTGAGCACCGCGAGGAGTAATTCCTGAGTGCAGAGCCAGGAGTAACCCCTGTGCATTGCCAGGTGTGACCCAAAGAGAAAAAAAAAAGATGATGTAGCTTTTCATGCAGTGAAGACCACCCCTGCTTTGTATATGTTTTGGGGGAAGAAAAAGAAAGAAAGAAAGAAAGAAAGAAAGAAAGAAAGAAAGAAAGAAAGAAAGAAAGAAAGATGTAGCTGTTAGAAAAGATGAAGTCATGAAATTTACATACAAGAGGTACTACATGGAAAGTATCATGCTAAGTGAAATGAGTCAGAAAAAGAGGGACAGACATAGAAAGATTGCTCATCTTTCTATGAACTCCTCTAGGGAACATAGAGTAACAAAATAGGAGCTAACACCCAAGAATAGCCAAGGTAAGTACCAAAAGGTTTACTCCATGGCTTGGAGACCAGCCGCACACGCTAGGGGAAAAGGCAGCTCAGATAGAGAAGGTAGCACCAAATGAAGGGTGTTGGGAGGATCCTTCCAGGATGGGAGATGCATGCTGAAAGTAGACTATAGACCGAACATGATTGCCACTCAATGCCTCTTTTGCAAACCACAGCACCCAAAAGGAGAGAGAGAACAAAAGGGAGTGCCCTGTCACGGAGGTAGAGTGGGATGAGGGGATGGGGGGTGGGAGGGATACTGGGATTAGTGGTGGTGGAGAATGGGCACTGGTGGAAGGATGGGTACTCGATCATTGTATAACTGAAACCGAAGCACAAAAATTTGTAAGTCTACAACTGTACCTCATGGTGTTTCACTAATAAAAAATTTTTTAAAAAAAGAAAATGAAGGAAGGAAGGAAGGAAGGAAGGAAGGAAGGAAGGAAAAGAGAGAGGAAGGAAGGAAGGTAGGAAGGAAGGAAGGAAGGAAGGAAGGAAGGAAGGAAGGAAGGGAAAGAAGGAAGGAGGGAGAGGGGAGGGGGAGGGAGAGAAAGAAAGAAAAGAAAGAGAAAGAAGAAAGGAAGGAAGAGCAATAACCACATAATTTATATAAGCAAGGTAAATGCTTTTTTTGCATCTATAGATGTGACCATATAGTTTTTACTTTTCCTTGTATTGATATGATGTATTGCATTGATTGACTTGCATACATGAAAGAAAGAAAGAAAGAAAGAAAGAAGGAAGGAAGAAAGAAAGAAAGAAAGAAAGAAAGAAAGAAAGAAAGGCTGTTGGGGGAAGGGAGGAAAGGGAACTGAGACTCAGAGGGAGGGAATAGGGAAGTGATAGTCGCAGGTGTGATGGTGTGAGCAGGAAGTGGAGAGGAAGAGAGAGGAACACTCAGGAGTTGGGGTAAGAGAAGAGAGAACAATACAGGGAAGAAGATTCTGCAGTCAGAAGTGAGGGCTTGAGTGTTTCACCCTAATTAACCAGGACAAAGGGAAAGAAAGAAAAAATAGGATGAAGAGAGATCTGAGTAAGTTGGCAGCTGCCAAATTCAAGTCCCCCAAGAATCAACGAATAAACAGAGGGTTAAAGTGAAGTTTTGTTTGTTCTTAATGGATGAATAACATGATCTGTGTACAGATCATGAGTGTACAAATTTAATGAATTTTCACAAGCACATTCGGGGTTCCACTGCCCAGAACAGGAAGGAACGCTGTCATCACTCTAAGCCTTCACCCCCTGCAAATAATCACTCTAAGCCTTCACCCCCTGCCCTCTCCCCAGGAAGGCTCACGCCAAAGTAACTACTATCCCAGCTTTTACATCATCGATTAGTACTGTCTGCTTTGGGACCCTACATCAATATTTATGCATAAATTAAATGAAAGGGTACTGTACTGTATCTTACTCTTTGGGATCTGGCTTTTTAATTTTATTATTTATTTATTTTTGCTTGTGAGATATATCAGCACTGCTCCAAGTGACAATAGTTTATTTTTATTCGTAGTAAAATTTTCCTTTGCATGACCATTCCACAATCCATTTTTATTCATTTGAAAATGCTCTTTTCGGCATCTATTGATATAAAACCATATAATTCTTAAAAGCAAATAACCACATAATTTATATAAGCAAGTAAATGCTTTTTTTGCATCTATTGATGTGACCATATAGTTTTTACTTTTCCTTGTATTGATATGATGTATTGCACTGATTGACTTGCATACATTAAACCATCCTTGCATCCCCAGGATAAATCCTAGCCATGGTGTATCATCCTTTCACTGTATCGTTGGATTCAGTTGCTAATATTTGGTTGAGTATCTTTGCATCTGTGTTCATCAGGGATATAGGTCTGAAGTTTTCCTCTTTTGTGATGTCAGTCTGCTTTTAGTATCAGGATAATGTTTACCTCATAGAAACTGTTTGGGAGTATTCTGACTATAAATACTGATTAGTCCTCTGGGCTCCTATGTTCACTCATGAAGAGTACAAATATGAACAATATAGAATACAAGTGTCATCCTTTCTATAGTAGCTTGCCTTTTTATTCTTTCTATGATTTCAGTGGTTTCTGTTATTGAACAGATGTTCTTAATTATAGGATTTTTTTCCCTTTAATGTTTTGTCATTTTTTTTCTGTTTTAAGTAATCATTGTGTACTCCCAGGATTTTAAGACTTTTTTCTATGCTATATTCTAGAATTTTTGTTTTTTTAGGGGGGGTCCCAGCCAGCAATGCTCAGGGGTAACTCCTGGCCCTGCACTCAGGAATTATTCCTGATGGTGCTTGGAGGATCCTATGGGATTCCAGGAATCAAACCCTGGTCAGCCACATGCAAGGCAAACACCCTACCTGCTGTACTATCTCTCTGGCCCCTAGAATGCTAGTTGTTCTTTTGTTTATTTTTACCACTTTTTATATTTACATAAAAACCTTATGTGTAATTGATTTTTGAGCACGGAAGTATATGAGTCAAGATTAGTTCTTTTTTTCTCCACAGGAATATCCGATTGATTTGGCATCACTTACTGAAAAATCACCATTTCCCCATAGTACACCCGTGTCGTAAATCAAGTTTAGGTTGAGTCTGTTTCAATTACATGCTTGACTAGCTAAAAGTAGATGTGAATTAAGCACTAAGAAATACAGAAAATTGCTGATCAACACATGGGGAATATTAATAAAGAAACAGAAGTTATGCAAAAAGGAAAACACAGTCTGGAGCTGAGAATCACAGTAACTGAGATCTTCATCAGAGACTTCCAACATCACACTTGCACAGGCAGAATGAATCAGTGACCTTAGAGATGGGTCGCTTACAATTATTTACTTCTATGAGCAGAGAGAAAAATAAAGAACCTAACAAACATATAAGAAAACTTCAAATGTACCAATGTCTGTGTTATGGTAGTACTAGAAGGAAAAAGGAAAAGGTAAAATATTATGTGAAGAAGTAATGACAAAGATGCCTCAAATTTTATTAAAAGACGCGAATCTATATGTGTGCAAGACGCTCAAAGAATTTCAGAAATGATAAATGAAATTATTCATTCCTGGACACAATATAATAAGGCTATAGAAATAGAAAGACAAAAAGAACCTCAAAAAAAAAAACCCTCAACCAAAAATTTTACATCTATCAAAGCTGTCCATCAAAATGAGGGAGAAATAAGAAATTCCCAATAAAAGCTGAGGGAACTTGTCACTTCTTGACCTACTCTACAAGAAATGTTAGCAGGATTATTACTTTAGGTATCAATGCTAAAGGATTGTTACTTCAGTCAGTAATAAAAGACATTAGATAATACCTCAAAGCCTTGACAAATTAAGTAACACTGCTAAAGACAACCATATAGGTATTATTGTAATTTGCCCTCTTAATTTTACATAGACATATAAGGAAACAACTGGGAATATGGAAGTATTACATAAATCTCTGGTCAGTTAATTTTTTTAAAAAATTTTATTAAAACCCCATGATGTACAAATTTATTCATAGTTGGACTTCAGACAGTTAATTTTTTTTTGCTTTTTTGGGGGGTCATACCCAGCGATGCTCAGGGGTTCTTTCTGGTTCATGCACTCAGGAATTACTCTTGGAGGTCCTCGGGGGACCATATGGGATGCTGGGAATCAAACCCAGGTCGGCCACGTGCAAGGCAAATGCCCTACTCTCTGGGCTATCGCTCTAGCCCCTCAGCCAGTTAATTTTTGACAAGGTTGCCAAGGCCATTCCATGGGGAAAGAGTGAAGTACTGGGACAATGGGATATCCATATCCAAAGAATAATGGTGCATCACACCTTCCACTAAGGGAAAAAGTAATTCAGAAAGATCAAAAATCCTAAATGTAAAATCCAAGTCCTAAGTGTCACAGTGAAAACTTACAATCTTACCAGAAATACCAGAGGCAAATCTCCCTAAACTCAAGTTTGTGAATGGATTCTTACACCTGACAACCAAAGCACAAGCAACAATTATGCTTCATCAAAACAAAATACTTTTCTATTCTAAAGGATATTATCAAACGAGGAGTCAAAAACCAGTTCCTAGAGCAAGAGAAAGTATCTGTAGGGATTTATTGGTAAGGGTCCAGGGTCCAGAACACATAAGGTCTGGTGCTGGGGAGCTGACTCAGGGCAGCGACTCATGCTTTGCAATGCAGTCACCTGGGTTCTATCCCTGGCACTGCCTATGCCCTGAGCACCACTGGAGGGAGCAACTCCTAAGTATCCCTCCCCCTCAGCACCACAAAATGTGGCCCGAAAACAATCCAAAGAGAACTAAAAGACAAATATTTCTATTTAAAAACAGATGTTTCTATTTTTCAAGAGGCTGCTAAGCATATGAAAAGATGCTCAGTCATAGAGAAATGCAAAACCCAATCACAATGAGGACCATTTGGACCAACTAGGAGGGGTGTCATGAAACAAACAAAGCAAAACTTAAAGACGGAAAATAGCGAGAGGACGTGGGGATGCGAAGCCACTGGAAGCTTTGGATGCTGCTGGTGGGGAGGTAGAACAACGTGCTTTGGAAATGTTTGACGGCAACTCAGAAAGGTAAACACAGAATTACCATGTGCTGCAGTGTTTTGCTCCTAGGTATTGCTATTAATTTGTTTTACTCAAAACAGTTATTCACCAAGTATCTGTATATGGATGTTCACACTTTGCAGAAACAACTCAAATACCCACCAGTAAATGAATGGATCAGTATAACTCGGCATTGCTGTGAGGTAGGACGGGATTCAGGCGTCAGAATATGTGACGGGCTGCAGGGATAGGACAGCAGGTAAGGTGCTTGCCTCGCATAGAGTTGACCTGGGTTTGATCCTGGGTCCCACGTATGGTTCCCTGAACTCCACCAGGTGTGATTCCTGAGCACAGAGTCAGGAGAAAACACCAATCACTGCCCGGTGTGGTTCAGAAACAACCCCCCAGAAATCCAGAAGAAGCCTGGCTGCATGTGTCTGTGAATGTTTTAAAGAACAAACATTAAATTATGGCCCGCAGAGATGGTCCAAGGGCTCAGTCATTTGCCCTCGTGTGGCTGAACCCAGTTTGATCCCCTTCACTGCATACAATCTCCCCAGCACTGCTGGCAATGGCGCCTAAGCCCAGAGTTAGGTGACCCTCCAGAGCATGCTGGCTGGGTGTGAAACACCCAACCCCCATGTCACCCTGCCCCCCCCCAAAAAAAAACCCAAATCAAGCAAAAAAAAAAAGCATACTCAAGATCAAAGGGTTCTTTGAAAACTCATAGTCAGGATCGACTTCTAAGGAGATAATATTTTTTAAATTTATTTATTTAGAATTCTGAACCAGATAGGAGTGAGTAGGCTCTTCCGAGCCCTAATCACACAGAGACGTTAATCAACTCATGTGAACTCTGATTGTTGTGTTCTGGCCAGGAGCCATAGATAGCACAGCAGGGAGGGCGTTTGCCTTGCATGCGGTCAACCTGGGTTTGATTCCCAGCATCCCATATGGTCCCCAGAGCACTGCCAGGAGTGATTCCTGAGTGCAGAGCCAGGCATCACCCCTGAGCATCCCCAGATGTGGCATAAAAAAACCCAAAGCAAACATCTTGTTCTCTCTGCCCTCTGATTAGAGGAGAGGTAAGGATTATCCTACTTGACCATCTTAGGGGATACATTTTAGCAGGGTGATGGGTCAGGGGTTGGGGGCCGATTGGGAGAAGTCTAAATCACGGTGCTAATGCACTAGGTTAACTTCAGAATCTGAAGGAACGGTTCCTGGATCCCATTGGCTGTCCCTGACAGGAAGACACCTCCGCCTTTCTCAAAACGTTCACATTTCACTTTCAGGCCTCTTTGACTTCAATTAGGGATTCCTTGCAGCCTGACTGAAATCTCTCTAAGCATTTTCATTGTTGTTTAGATGGATTGATGGCAGCAAGGTGAGCTCTGGGAAACCTTGACAGATTTCTTGATAGAACATTCTTCTCAACTTGCCCTTGTGTGTGTCCCTGTCCTTTCAAGGAAAACAGCTCTCTCAAGATATTCTCTCAAACACAGCATTCTCTCCCATGCAGCATTCTCTCACATGAGGCATTCTCTCACACATGGCCTTCTCTCACATGAAGCATTCTCTCACATGAGGCTTTCTCTCACATGAGGCATTCTCTCATGCGAGGCATTCTCTCTCACATGGCCTTCTCTCACATGCAGCATTCTCTCACATGAGGTTTTCTCTCACATGCGGCATTCTCTCACATGAGGCATTCTTTTACATGAGACATTCTCTCATGCGAGGCATTCTCTCACATGTAACATTCTCTCACATGAGACATTCTTTCACATATGTCCTTCTCTCACATGAAGCATTCTCTCACATGAGGCTTTCTCTTACACAAGGCATTCTCTCACATGAGGCTTTCTCTCATGTGAGGCATTCTCTCTCACATGGCATTCTCTCACATGTAGCATTCTCTCACATGAGGCATTCTCTCACACATGGCCTTCTCTCACATGAAGCATTCTCTCACATGAGGCTTTCTCTCACACAAGGCATTCTCTCACATGAGGCTTTCTCTCACATGAAACATTCTCTCATGCGAGGCATTCTCTTTCACATGGCATTCTCTCACATGCAGCATTCTGTCACACGAGGCTTTCTCTCACATGCGGCTTTCTCTCACATGCGGTATTCTCTCACATGAGGCATTCTCTCACACGAGGCATTCTCTCAAACGCGGCATTCTCTCACACCCCGGCCTCCCTCTCCTCTCCAGCTGCTCAGAATCATTCCAATAGATTTGACAAGCGCTCAGACGTTCAAAAAAGCCGTTCTTGGAATGCCATCTGGCTCCCCATTAGATGTGTCCAGATAGATACTCTGCGGATTATCTCCAGGAAAGAAGAAAAATAAAAGAGAGCCTCAGAACTATTTATACAACCCCACGGCAGGCTCTGGCCTGGAAAAAAGGAAAGTAGGACTTTAAGAGTTGTGATTGTGTTTCTTCTTTCCTGCGTTGCATGGAGTTTAAATTATAACCATCTGTTCCAGAGATATATAAAAACCTTGAATTCTATCATCTTCCACATTAACAGAACACAAAGCTCTGGGCTGTGAGGGGATCTGATAGTAATGGAGACAGTCATGACTCTGCTCTAGCGACGGTGGGAACCCACTTCAGAATCTCACTCCGGCTACCTCATTTTCCCCGTCGAGAGAGGAGAGGGGTCTCTATCCAGAGAGCCGCTTCCAACCAGCCGGTTGCCTGCATGTGGACAGTTGCTCAGCCCTCGCTTCTCTGCTGTGGTGGCGGGAAGGGCTGTCTTTCCGCCAGCTCTTACTAGATAGATACCATTAAATTACCTCTCTGTGCTCACGCGAATGCTCATCTTTAATTCTCAAAATATCCTCAAATCGTGCCTGGTGGATTCAGAGGCATTTCACACTTGGTGGATCATTTAATTGGCTTTCAGGATCCAGCCTAATTAGACGGGTGGGGTTGGGAGAAGCCCCAATCCGAGACTTGCGCAGAACCTCTTTCCTTCTTCCAGCAAACCTTTAGTCAGCGGCCAAGGGTCCCCAAGCACTGTGCGACAGGAGATCCAGAGATTTAGAAACAAAACCAGATTTGAAATCTGGAGAGGTAGTGTGCAGGTATAGTGATTGCCTTGTGTGTGGCTGACTGGGTTAAGTCTTCAGCATCACAAATGGTCCTCCAAGCCCCAGCAGGAGTGATCCCTGAGTACTGCCAGGTGTGACCCTCTCCAACAAAATACCCTGCCAGAACACCCGAAACAACAACTACAAGAAAACAAAAAATGGGGCTGGAGCAATAGCACAGTGGGTAGGGTGTTTGCCTTGCCCACGGCCAACCCAGGTTCAATTCTCAGCATCCTATATGGTCCCCGAGCACCGCCAGGAGTAATTCCTGAGTGCAGAGCCAGGAGTAACTCCTGTGCATTGCCGGGTGTGACCCAAAAAGCTAAAAGCAAAACAAAAATAGTAAGTCTTATTTTCAAAGCAATATATATATATATATATATATATATATATATATATAGTTGTTTATTCAACCATACCAAGTGGTGCTGGGAGTAAGTCCCAGCTCTGTGTTGGGGTCTACTCCTGGAGGTGCAGAAGGCAGGGTGTGGCTCTGGGAATGGAACCCGGGCTTTCCGTGCATAGCATTTGTTCAGTCTGAGGAGCCCTTTGGCCCAACTGAAACCTAATGTTCAACAAATCACATAAATAAATCGACTCTTACAAGATGAAATGGAACAGGTTCATGAGAGCAGAGTTACACAGTGTGGAGGAGGAATGATTCATAGACTTGGAAATTTATTTTTACTTACCATGTCTGACTTTCTAGCACTTGATCATGATTCGTTTTATTTTCTGTTTCACAGACCTTTAAAAACCTCTGTTTCCTCCTCCCCTGAAAGGACATCACGCACCTATGTTCCTCACAGCACCGTTTACAAGATCTGGAAACAACCCATGGGCCCAACCACAGAGGAGAGGATAAAGGGATCGGGGCCGAGCCACACGATGGAGTACTACTCGGCTAAAGAAAAGATGAAGCTGTGTGGTTTACTGCAACTTGGATGGAATTACAGGGTGTCATGATAAGTGAAATGAGTCAAAAAGTAGATTAGCAGCACGGGATCTCATGCATATGTGGAGTATTAAGAAACAAGGCCAGGGATGAGACAGCCTCTTGGGAATGCCCAGTAGAACGGGGGACTGAGGGGGCTGATGGGACCAGGCAATGACAGGAGAGGGGGTCTTGGCACACTGGTGGAGGGACTGGGGTAGTCACATGGCAAGTAGAAAACAACAACTTCAGTACTACTGTTGAACCATGACGCCACGATTAAAAAAATGCATGGTTACATAAATTAAATGTTAAAGGCTTCCAAACATCTGCTTTCAAGGTTTGCGTTCTTTTCTATGATAACTCTCTACCTTTTGTGGGTCTCACAGATAAAAATGTAACCCTGGGTGTCTTTGATTGGATGTTAGTGCGGTTCTGAGAGCAGCTAAAGAGAAAGATTTGTATTGGGTGGTCGTCCAGCATACTGTTGGCAAAATATAATGTCCCACAGGCCTTGCTGGGCGCAACAGAAACCACGGGGTGTCACACACTGGTCATACTCTCGGGCTCTTAGAGGAAAGTGACAACAAAACTGTGACCTGTAGAGAGCCCGCAAAAAGAAAAGAGAAAGCCAGTGACCAGCGAGATTTTTTTTTTTTTTGCACTGTTTGGGAATGAGGCAAAAAGCAGAAAGCACCAGCTACTGGGGAATGTCGCGTCTCTGGTCAAGGTGAAGCATTTGAAGAGCAAGGAGGAAAGCACAAGTACCTGGTCCCTTCTTACCGGGATCCTACAAAAGAAGAAGAGAGGAGTCTGTGACGAAGAAAGAGCAGAGAACACCTCATCTCTCTGCTTCTAGAGGAGGCGATCACATTCTTGCCCCAAAGAGGGAGTTAACAGCCAACTATGTAGGAGATGAAAGAAGTACAAGATGGAATTCTCTGGAAAGTGTGTGGGGTCTTGACTGACCAACAGCGTGGCCCACCCTCTGGGAAATGTCGTGTTTTGGTGGCCCGGCAGACGGAGGGAACCGGTTTGGTTTGAGAGGGGTACCTGGACCTGCTCAGTTTGGCTTTCCCAGCAGCTCCTGGGAAGGAGCCAGCCAGTTTAATTTTTAACAGTGGGTGGTCAAAGGAGAGAGGTGGGACCGGGCATGGCAAGCGGTCTGTTCCTCCCCCACTGCCACCTGAGTGCTGGCGAGCACCCAGAGGTGGAAATTAAGCACGGGAGCTTGTCACATAAGGAAAGCACTGAGAGTTGTTGTTCCTTTGCAGCATTTCAAGCAAAAATTGGAGTTTTGAAGAACCTTGTATCAAGCACCATAAACTTGAAGCTTCTTGTGTCCTAGACTTTTCAGCTGAAATTAGGGATGATAGAAATGCATATGGGTGTTTTGTTTGCTGGTGTGTGTGTGTGTGTGTGTGTGTGTGTAGTGGTGGGGGGGGAGAGTGGATGTGGGTGGGTGGGTGGGGGTTGGATGTGGGTGTGTTATGGAATGGGTCAGTGTTTGGTCAATTTTTCCATGAACCAAAATTTTGTTGTTATTTTATGGAGTTTGGACAACATAATTAACAACAGTGTTAACTTCCAAGGTCTTGATATACAAGGTAACTGCAACTTTACCACCAGCAAAGTGCCCAGGACCACCACCACTGCCGTCTTGTCACCTCTAGTCCACCCCTCTCTCTCCACACCCACAATTTGGTCATCTCTGTTCAACAATCAAAGTGTTTGTCCCAGTGTGTGTGTTCCTTTTTCTGTTGCTCTTTTTTCCATTTCTTATAATTTTATTTATTGAATCACCATGAGAGCAGTTACAAAGCTTTCAGGTTTAAGTCTCGGCCATGCAATGAAACACCCATACCTTCACCAGTGCTCATTCTCCACCCCCAACAACCCCAGTATACCCCCATCCCACACCCTCCCCCTACATGTGGGGCAGATGATTTCCACATTACTCTCTCTCTACTTTGATTACATTCAATATTTTGACACCAGACCCACCATTATTATTTGGGATTTTACCCCAACACTCAGATCTGCTGAAAAGGCAACAGTAGACGATTTGTTTTCTATTGCTGGTTATCAATAACATATGACATTGCATGGCTGCAGTAGTGGTCGCACAGTTTTGAAATTCCAAAATTTTAACAATGAAATCTGGAGGGGTTTCTGCCAAAACCTGCTGGGTTCCGAGATTTGTTCCTGAGTCTCTTGGATCATGGCCATTAAGCAGCTTGATCAGGAGCCAGAGAGGCCATTTGTGGGCAGCGACTTGGGATCTTGTTGAGACGAGGAGGAAAGGGCCGGCTCCACCCCCATCCCATCAGGCCCCAAGTGTCTCATCACTGAGGGCCCAAACCTGACTGTCCAATGGCCTCTGGAGTATGGCAGCCACCGAGCTGCTGAGGGGGAGCAGGTGAAGGGACAGCACCCTTCCCCCCGGAATGGCCCAGTGACTGTAACCTACTGCGGGGTCTGGACTCATTTCTGCTAAAAGCCACTGGGTTCCAAGATTTGTTTCTGAGTCTCTGGGATGATGGCCATTAAGCAGCTTGATCAGGAGTCAGAAACCCCATTAGTGGGCGGCGACTTGGGGTCTTGTTGGGATGGGGAGGAAAGGGCAGGCTCCACCCCCATCCCATGAGGCCCCACGTGTCTCGTCACTGTGGGCCTAAATCTGACTGTCCAGTGGCCTCTGGAGGATAGCGGCCATGGGGCCATCAGGGGGAACAGGCCAAGGCACGAAACCTATTCCCACCTGGGGTTGCCCAGCACTTTTAACTTACTGCAGGGACTAGATGCATTTCTGCCAAAAGCCTTTGGGTTTCGAGATTTGTTTCTGAGTCTCTGGGATCATGACTGTTAAGCAATTCAATCAGGAACCAGAGAGGCCATGCTTCCAATTATATAGCTGAGCAGGGGGTGGTTTGTGATTGTGTCTCCCACATACCTAACTTTTGGCTGTTTACTTTCTTGGTAAACTTTGCCCCAAGTTTTTGGGGTCTGGCCAAAGGCATAGCAGCAATTTTGGGGTATCTGGAAGTCTGAAGGCACCATCAGGCTGCTGATGCACTTGCCTCACAGGTACAGATTGACCTGCTGGCAGCACCATACCCCCTTTTCTGTTGTTTTATACACCACAGATGAGTGAAATCATTGGTGTTCTTCCATCTCCTGATTTATTTCATATAACATGAAATACTCCAACTTCTAAGTTGCGGCAAATTGGTGAAATTAGTTTCCTTTTTTTTCTTATAGTTTCAAAATACTCCATTATGAGTATCTAAACCGTGATTTCGTCATTCACCTGTCACTGTCCATCCGGACTATTTCCATATCCCGGCTATTGTGTTTAGTGCTGTCATGAACATAGGCGTACATGCATCATTTTTTTAAAAATTTTAATTTATTTATTGAATCACTGTGGAAAAAGTTACAAATCTTTCAGGTTTAAGTCTCGGTTATGCAATGATCAAACACCTTTCCCTTCACCGGTACTTATTTTTCACCACCAAGAACCCCAATATACCCCCATCCCACCACTCCCAATGCCTGTGAGGCAGATGAATTCTACTTAACATTCTATCTACTTCGATTACATGCATTACTTCGACAAAAAGGTGCACCATTATTGTTTAGAGTTTACACCCAACAATCAGAACTGCTGAAAAGGCATTGTGAAATAATTTGTTTTTTACAGCTGGTTATGAGAACCATATGATGTTGCGTGTTCGAAATTTTAGATTTCTTATATTTTACTTATCAGAAGTTTTGGATTTCTGATAGTTTACTTATTAAGTCTGGAGGGATTTCTGCCAAGAGCCAGATAATTACAAGATTGTTTTTTTGTGGCTCTGGAGCCATGGCCATACCAGAGAGCCGCTCATCGGGAGCAATTCGTGACCTCGGTAGGGCGTGAAGGATGAGCCAGGAATGCCCCCCCCCCCCCCCCCCCCCCCGCCCATGAGGTTGCAGTTGCCCTGTCACCGCCGGCTCATACCTGGCTTTCCAAAAAGCTCGGAGGTGGCCGCCATCTTGCTGCCCAGGGGGAAAGAGGCGGAAGGGAGCGACATCCCTTTCCTCCCGGGGAGGCATGGTACCGTGGATTAATGCATAGTCTATTCACTTTTCTGCTGCAAGCTGCCGGACTCTGCATTAAGTCCTTGTGCTTCTGGAGCCATGGCCGTGCCGGAGAGCCGCTCGTGGGGGGCAACTCGTGACCTCAGTAGGGCGTGAAGGACGACATGCATCGTTTTTGAATTAATTTTGTCTGCTTGGGATAGACTGAGTGGGATTGTTGGGTCCTGTGGAAATTCTATTATTAGTTTTTTAAAAAAGGTCTCCATACTGTTTTCTGAGAGGTGGTCCAATAGTTTTAATATTTTTAATAGCCAATGACTGATGTTAAAACGCTGTATATGGGCATAAGTGAAAGATCCACACAAAGGTGGGAGAGACTGACTCATAAAACTGGGGAGGAAGGCTTCCCTGCTCTACTGGACACCACATTGCAGTGGCCATTGTTTGACTCCTAGGGAGTTTTCAAAGAATATCCACAGCTGCATGGAAGGCTGTGAAAATTCTCTTCCTTTTCCAAAACACAGAGCTAGACCAGGTCACAGTGCTTTTCTTCATCTTAAAATAACCTATTTAAATAGAGTGAACGCAGCCAATATGAAAATCCAATTATTTGATATTAAAGAGAAGTGAGTCAATAATGAAACTATTTTTCAAAAAAATTTTTTTTAAAACAGTGCTACTTTTAGATTAAATGGTTTGTCTTTACAAAGTATGGCCATTCTTCATTTTAAAAAATCATTCATGTTTTTGTGAAATGGGTATATTATTTTTTAGTGAATTAATAAACATTTAAAAAAATTTGTGTGCTTTTTGGGTCACACCTGGTGATGCACAGGGGTTACTCCTAGCTCTGCACTCAGGAATTACCCCTGGTGGTGCTCAGGGGACCATATGGGATGCTGGGAATTGAACCTGGGTCAGCCGCGTGCAAGGCAAACTCCCTACCTACTGTGCTATTGCTCCAGCTTCTAAAACTTTTCTTTTTAACTACACCACCAGGATTGGTGGCATGTGCAGGATTGACTCCTGGCTCTGCACTCAGGGATCACTACTGACAGGCTCAGGGGACCATATGGGATGCCAGGGATTGAACCTAGATTGGTCTCATGCAAAGTACGCTCCCGACCCACTGTGCTCCCTCTCAGCTTAGACACTAACATTTTTAATAGATTAAAGAGCCAT